ATCACCAACCTGATCAAATGGGTTGTAATATATCCCTACTGCTATATTCTTATTAGTGCATCTAATTACTAATCATAGAGATATGGTATAGTTTGGTTCATTCAAGACTTTTATTTTATTTGATTCTATGCTTTCTTTCACATATAATGCCACTCCTCTACCAGCAGGCCTGATATATCCTTCTGATATATTTTGTACCCTCGTATTACTGTGTGCCACTATCTTCATTCCAAGTTTTTCGGATGCCTACTATATCAATATCATCATTTAATATGAGATACTTACTCTAGCGACATTAAAGTAGGCATCCTGCACATCGAAGGCTGCGAACCAGTCCTCTTGATCTAATGCTAGAATAAGTGTATTTAGCGTGACCATATGGAATCATTGTTTCTTCAGAAATTTGTTCAGTTTGTGGAGTTCGAGGATTGGCCTCCAACCCTCCATTTTTTCTCTCTGTCAAGAAGTAATTTGAGAAGAACCCCCTTCCATGAAATTCCTCGGGTACTCTCTATATAGCCCCAAACATCAGGAGATGATTAATCTCTTATTTTAGTAGGACCTCGTGAGAGGGGTCCCTGAAGAGGGACAGGGTAGGGGGTGGATAGAGGTAAAGGGGATAGTATATCCTACGCAAATTATTTCCAATGCCCATCGGTCTGATGGTATAGACTCCCATTGTGTTAAGAAGGGACGCAAATGGTGGGTGAAAAGATGGCGGTATTGCACTGGCATTGGATCATGAGGGAGATTTTGCAGACCCTCTACCATACCCTCAAATTTGCTGCTTTGTGGTTTGGTTGGTGGACGGGCAGCCCTGGTTGGAGCATCTTCTCTATGGCTTCTGTCTTGACCTGGTATCCTCGTAAAGCCTCTGTGGTGGTCGATTATATTGTCCATATCTGTTGTGATTACAGGGATTATAGAGGGTTTATTGTTTACGACTATAGGGCGGGGTATACATGCCCAAAGTTCAGAGCGTAGTTCTTGAATCTTTACTACGATTCAGGATCTCATCTGTTTTGGCTGCGAATAACTTTAGTTTGTCAAATGGTAGGTCTTCGACTTTGAACTGAAGTTCTCAAGGAACACAGGAGGCCTGTAATCAGGATGCCCTGCGCATTACCACCACTGTAGCTGTCGCCCTAGCCGTGATATTAGCAATATCCAGTGTTATTTGTAGGGCAGGACAGGCAATCGTGTGGCCCTCATGGACTATTGCCTTCAGGACAGGTCTCTGAATCAGGGAAGTGTTCCATGAAATCCCCCAATTTTGAAAAATTATCAAAATCCTGTTTTGCCAAATGAGCAGAATAATTCACAGTTCTCGATTTCAGTGTAGAAGAATAGACCTTTCTGCCGAAGTGATCTAATTTTTTGTGATCTTTGTCTTGATTGCCTGATCTATACTGTGGTAGTTTGGACCTCTGTGGGTCAATTCCACCACCAAGGAGTTCGCTTGGTGGTGTGTGAACAGAAATTCCATGTCCTTTGGGGGAACAAAGTATCTTCTAACTTCCCTCTTGTTGATAGGCTGAATAGATGCAAGTGTTTTCCATAACTCAACTGATATTTCCATAATTGCCTCATCTATAGGTAAGGCAATCTTCCTGTGTAATGTAGGGTGTAGATTTTTTTAACAAACGGTGTTGTTCTCCCTGTATCTCTTGGGGAGAGACTTGTTGGCTTGTCGCCACTCTTTTAAAAAGCTCTTGAAATTGCTTAATGTAGTCTATTGGGGATGTATCAGATGGTATGACCGTGTCATCTGATATTGATGGAGAATTGTCTATTGGGAATGCATCAAGTGTATGAGAGTCTTGGTCTCTGTCAAGCACTTGTCCGTCCTCCTCCTCTGAGTCTTCCACTTCTTGCCGGTGTGGAGTGAATTGAGGACCGGTGTCTGTGTGGGCCCCAATATTCCCAAGGCACCCACTGCAGTGGGTAAGGTGCAGATGGGAGAAGGTAAGCCCAGTGTGACTACCAGGGGTTTTGATGTGGTCTGAATCTATAATGGTGTGGGCGTGACCCTATCGGTGATGCATTTCATGAGGAGAATGCAGTCGCCTGGTCATCATCAGGTAAAGGACCATGGTGAGACCGTTCTGGAGATTGTAGTATTTGAGGACACTGCAGGTGATAGAACTGCAGAAGGACGGCATGAGTCCTGATGCCTGCTAGAATTATCAGCTGCTGATTGTGGCACTTCCTCTGCTTCCCACCTCAGTTGTGGGTCAGTGTGCACCATCGGACCATGGGAGCACACTGTACTGTTAAAGCTGGTGCCGCTTTAGCTGAGCGAGTCAATTTTCCTTGCGGCGCCATGGTTTTTGCAGTGCCAGCTTTTCATGTGCTGCCGCATTCATGGAGTGCTCTCGGGCTTCTCTAGGCACCGAGGAAGTGTGCAATGGTCTCAGCATTAGCACGGAAACTCTGCCAGCTGCTTTGGTAGTGGAGGTCCCTGAGGTGCCATGTCTCTCTCCCCTGCTGGTTCTTGGGGAGGAGGAAGGTGGAAGAGAGCGAGATGGAGAAGCTCTGTTTTTGGAAGTTTTTCCATTGAGCTGAGAGGTTGCTCTCTTTTGGGGGGGGGGGATCTTCCCACAGTTGGGAGGCTTTATGAGCATCAGCTAGCTGTAAAGCCTTATCAAATAGTATCATCTTGAGGTGGAGCTCTCTATCTTTCCTAGCGCTCACCATGAGGGAAGAACAATGTTCACATTACTGTGGTGCATGGGTTTCCCCCAAACACTGTATGCATAGTGATACTGGCATGGGCTCTCGGCACTCCTCACATTTTTTGAAGCTCAAGGGGCTCGACATATAAGTTGTCTGTGATCTTTCCTTCTTTCTTTCTTTAAACGGGGAAGAGCCAGTAGAAATGCAGTTTGTGCTGCCCCTGAGCAGCAAAGCTGTGTTCAAGTCCCCTGAGGGGAAGAAACTCTTCTTTTTTCTTTTGTAAAATAAACATGGGAAACTACTAATAAACTATTGAGCTAACTATTATAAACTTATTAAAGGTAACTAACTAACTGTTAACTATAGAAGCACTACATGAGGTAATAGGCTGAGAGAGAGATGTTGGAGTTCTGTCCGCTGATGAAGGCAGTTAGAGAGGAACTGAAAGAGAGGGGTTGAGCCATGTGAGCTGCACACTCGGCCAGGAGTGGTGCCAGATGCCTTCTGTGCATGTGCGGCTCAATGGGAGCAACTGCTTTGCAAGGCTCTGATCTGCAGCTCCAGGTGACCCGTCACCTACAGTGGAGCATCCACCGGGACATCACTTGAAGAAGAAAGATTGCTGTCTGCAGCCCTATTGACCTCAGAGAGTTTTGTCAGGATGGCACAACTTATAATAAAGTTTGATAACTTGTATCTAGGGCTCTGTTAAATCAGCAAATTCCTGGGTCTCCACTTTTGAGTACACTCATCCTTGACAGAAGTGGCTGTAGATGCTGTGATGTTATTTGATTGAAATATAAAAATACAGATCACTGTTGCAACCTATATATATGTGCAACATATGTTGCCTCGAATGAGGCAATTGTCTAGGTATGGAAATATGTTAATGCTTCTGTGACGTTGGTGTGCCGCGGCTACAGCCATGGTCTTGGAAAAGACTCTGGGAGCAGATAAAAATCCAAAAGGAAGAACTCTGTACTGGAAATGGTATGAAGCAACCGTAAAGCAGAAAAAGCATCTGTGCACTGGGTGTATGGTTATATGAAAGTACACGTCCTGGAAGTCGAGGGCTGCAAACCAGTCTCCATCATCCAGTGGCAGAATAATTGTGGTGAGTGTGACCATCTTGAATAGTTGTTCGCAGAGGTATGGTTAGATAGTGGAGGTCGAGAATGGGTCTCCAACTGCCAGTTCTTTTTTTCCTGTGAGGAAGTAATTGGAGTAAAATCCCCTGCCCTGATACTGATACCCTCTATATAGCTCCTATCCGTAAGAAAGTGATGCACCTCTTGATGAAGCAGTGTTTTGTGAGAGGGGTCCCTAAAGAGGGATGGGGAGGGTAGGGAGGTTGGGGAACTGAAATGGGGGAATGGAATATCTGCACTTGATAATCTCTAGGACCCAGTGGTCCACGGTAACTGCTGTCCACTTGCTACAGAAAGGGCACAAACGGCAATGGAATATAACCTCTTCAGAAGGCACTGGTGGAGTAGAGAAGTCCTGCAGGCCCTCGACCAAAGCTTCAAACTTGCTGCTTGGAGGCTTGGTGATTGGACAAACGAGTGCTGTTGGGTTGCTGCCACAGCTTCCTCATCCTGGAGCGATTCTGGTCGAATGGCCTATGGTGTTGCTGTCTGCCAAATGTAAGGTCTCTCTGTCTCTGGTAGGGAGGATACCATCTCCTACGGTATGGAGGCATATACATTCCCAGAATGCCTCTGTGTTCTCTTAGCACTGAGTCCAGCTGCAAGAGCAATGAGGTTGGTACCATTACTATTTTGTTGCTATCTTCCCATCTTCGTCCCTTCTGTCTTACCTTCCAATAAGTTGCACAATGGGATACGTGTGTTTTGATAACTACCTGAGTGTTCAACATTCTCATAGTTTGGATGTCCTGCATCATTGTGCAGTAATTACCAAACTCAGACAATATGTTTAGAAGTTCTGGATTTTTTTCCTGGCTCTATAAGTTACCTGTCATGGGACAGTCATTATTTTTCTGTGGCTCAATTTGCAGATCTAAAAAACAGATATTGACCAAAATTATAGGTATTTTGTGAGATTTAGTCAGCTAAACCTTGATTGCTGTACTTCTTAATGGAGATGAAACAGCCAGGCAAATTTATGTTGACCTCAAAATCACTGGAGTCAGTGGATATACTCCTACTGATTTCAGTGGGAACTGGATTAGACTCAAATAGGAGGATATGTCTGTTTGTTGGAAAGAACAGAGGCAATACAGAATCCATGGCTAGAAGGTCAAAGTTCGGTTAGAAAAAACACATAAAAGAGGAAGAAATTTGAAAAACCTCATAACTTACTGTTATCCACAGGTTATCAAGTAATTCATTAGCTGTGATTCGGTGAGCAGGATCTACTCTCAGAAGTAGCTGCAATACATGTTTAGCTATAAAAAGAAACTTTTATCAATCTCATTTTTATTCATTGTAATAAACCCAACACATCTCCCACATGTCTTTTAGTGCTTTAATTCAGTCGAGAATATTTTACTTATAATGAGATGAAGTTAGTTTAAGAAAAAATTCACTTAAATTATTTCATGGATTCAAATTTATTTTTATGAGAATACACATTACTTAAAGCCATCCACAATACTGTAATTGTTTGCGGAGTTCATTGCTGTATTGATGGCATTTGTTTTTTCAGATGAGTACTTACCAGCCTCACTAACTGTTTGCCATATAGGATTATTAAAGTGCAGGTTTCCTTTCTTTATTAGTTCAAAAAGTTTTTCTTCTGAGCTTGCTACAAAAGGTGGGTCACCACATAATCTGCAACAAAAGTAAATTAAATTAATAAATTCTTACTATTTTCCAGTGATGGAACAACAGGCACACAAAATAAAACAGACCAGTATGACTGGCGACATTTCAGAAGGGATCTAGAATGGTTCACGATCTGAAAAATGTGTCTCACTAGGGGAATTTAAGGGGTTTATCAATGAGAAGTTAAAGAGATAACTTAATCACAGTCACTAGGTAACCACACAGGGAGAAGATAAATATCTGTGAGATATTAATTAATTTGGCAGAAAATGGTACTACAAGATCCAATGGTTGGAAGCTGAAGCTAGAAAAATTCAAACTGGAAATAAGGAACAATTTTTTAACAATGAGGATAATAGACTGCTGAAACAATTTACCAAGACATGTGATTGTTCTCTATCAGCTGAAATCTTTAAATCAAGACTGGTTGTCTTTCTAGGAGATATGGTCTAGTTCAACCACAAGTCATTGGGCTCAATTTAGGAATTATTGGATGATGCTCTGTGGTTTGTATTATGCAGGTAGTTGAACCACAGTCATCACGGTCCCATCAGACTTTTAAACCTAATAAATTATTTTGCATGAGATTGTTCAAACAGCAGTTCCAATCCCCCAAATGCCTAGTTCAGTTCTCAGAGGCCAGGTTGAGTTTGTACCACTAGCAGTTAAAACATTTTTTTAAATCAATAAATTGAAAATAATTTACATAAATCTTTGAAAGAGAAACCTGGAAAATCATAACGTCCTTTTAGGGAAAAAATGCACTAGATGAAATTTAGTAACTTTGATCTTTTTAAATTTGGCATTTACTGTATGTAGGGACATGTTAAAATGTATTTACTTATATCAGCACCTCGAATGTTAAAATGTATTTACTTATATCAGCTCCTCGAGAGCCAGTGCGCACTGGGAACTGGCTTTTAAGGCAGCTTCCTGGGTGTGCTGACTCTTGCCTGTCCTGTCACTCTCTCATTTCCCATGCTGCGGCCTCCAACACAGAGGCAGCAGCACAGTGTGTGAGGCAGGTAGCTCCCCAGGACCCAGTGTGCACAGGGAGAATGAGTATAACCATTAAGGTTAACCGAAGAGCCCAAGAATAGCGGTTAACTATGTACACAGTTACAATTTCACAGCCGTAGTATGTAGTCATATTTTGACACTTCATTGAGCTACATATGGAGACTGCCTGATTTGGTATAGTCTATACCAGCGGTTCTCAAACTTTTTGGGCTCTGGAGCCCTCTGGGCCCTTTGGGCTCTGGAGCCCAGCGGTCCACTGATTGTATGTGTTGTACCTATCGATGTTTCCTGTTTGTCAACCTCAAGGAGCCCCTGGAGATGTCTCATGGAGCGTTGGGGCTCCATGGAGCACAGTTTGAGAAACACTGGTCTACACTAATGTATCCAAAAAAATGGAGTAAGAAGATAAGTCTACAAAAGTGTCAGGAAAAATATCTAGGAGACATGCGTGTGTACCAGATAGCCCTTGTTATTTCTGCATATCATAAAAATTATATAACAACATCCTTGATAGTAAGTACAGTATAAAAACAAATGACTAGACTACAAGGTCTTGGACTTCATGTCTGCCAATTCAGGTAACACAATCCATATTACATTGTATTTTATCCTATGCTGACTAATGTGAATAAAAACAAACACATTCAAAACAAAGCTAGACAAATATGCATTAAAACATTTGTGCAAATACTAAATAAATGATTTTCCTTTGCCTATGTTCTTGATCATTTTGTGTTTGGTTTCAATGAATATTGTAGTTTACTACCAGCAATCTTCATAGAAACACCAAATTCTAAGTGATTACTATATAGTATTAATTGAACTAAATTTTGGACTTATAAATGCAAAGTATTTATGATTACATCAGACAGCACAAATATCTGACCTATGTTTCAATAAAAACTGTGACAGGGTGTGCATATTCTGCACTGGGCCAGGGGAGGGGTGGAGGAAGTCCTGCCTCCCAGCTATACTAAAAGCTGGGGCAGTATAAAAGGCTCAGTCTGGGCTGGTCATTGGAGAGGAAGGACCTGCCTCTGGATCCTGAGAATTTCAGAGACTCTGGCCATTGGACCATGCTGCCCTGTGGCATAGGAGCGACTTTATAGACCAGGGGTGGGGAACCTCCAGCCCGCGAGCCAGATCCAGCCCACCAAACAATTTCATCTGGCTTTCAGAGGGGTGGAGGGGTCATAGAATCATAGAACCATAGAGCTGGAAGAGGCCTCAGAAGGTCATCATGTCCAGCCCCCTGCTCTAGGCAGGACCAATTCCAACTACTTCAACCCAGACAGGGCTTTGTCAAGCCGAGATTTAAACACCTCTAAGGACGGAGATTCCACTACCTCCCTAGGTAACCCATTCCAGTGCTTCACCACTCTTCTAGTGAAATAGTTTTTCCTAATATCCAACCTGGACATCTCCCACCACAACTTGAGACCATTGCTCCTTGTTCTGCCATTTGTCACTACTGAGAACAGCCTTTCTCCATCCTCTTTGGAACCTCCCTTCAGGAAGTTGAAGGCTGCTATCAAATCCCCCCTCACTCTTTGCTTCTGCAGACTAAACAGACCCAACTCCCTCAGCCTCTCCTCATAGGTCATATGCTCCAGCCCCCTAATCATTTTGGTTGCCCTCCGCTGGACCCTCTCCAATGCATCCACATCCTTTTTGTAGTGAGGGGTCCAGAACCAGGCACAATACTCCAGATGTGGCCACACCAGAGCCAAATAAAGGGGAACAATCACACCTCTGGATCTGCTGGCAATGCTCCTCTTAATGCAACCTAATATGCTATTAGCCTTCTTGGCTACAAGGGCACACTGTTGACTCATATCCATTCTCGCCCAATCCTCCAATTTGTCTAAGTCACTCTGGACGCTATCTCTGCCCTCAAGCGTATCTACTTCTCCCCCTAGCTTAGTGTCATCTGCAAACTTGCTGAGGGTGCAATCCATCCCCTCATCCTCATGTCATTAATAAAGATATTGAACAAAACCCATCCTAGATCCGAACCTTGGGGCACTCCATTAGAAACCGATCGCCATCCTGACACCGAGCCATTGATCACTACACTTCTAGCCAGCTTTCTATCCATCTTACCATCCATTTATCCAATCCACATTCCCTTAACTTGCTGGCAAAAATATTGTGGGAGACCGTAACGAAAGTCTTGCTAAAGTCAAGGTATATCACATCCACTGATTTTCCCATGTCCACCGAGCCAGTTACCTCATCATAGACTCAAATTGGTCAGGCACAACTTGCCCTTTGTGAATCCATGCTGACTATTCCTGATCACGTTTTCTCTCTTCCAAGTGCCTCAAAATGGATTCCTTAAGCATCCCTTCCATGATTTTTCCAGGAATCGAGGTAAGACTGACCGGCCTATAGTTCTCTGGATCGTCCTTCTTCCCTTTTTTGAAGATGGGCACTACATTTGCCTTTTTCCAATCATCTGGGATCTCCCCCAATCACCATGACTTTTCAAAGACAATGGCCAAAGGCTCCTCAATGACATTTGCCAACTCCCTCAGTACCCTCGGATGCATTAAGTCTGGACCCATGGATTTGTGTACGTTTAGCTTTTCTAAATAGTTCCTAACCTGTTCTTTACCCACCAAGGGCTGTCCATCTTCATCCCATCTTGCGTCACTCAGCACATTAGTCCGGGAGCCCACATTGTCCGTGAAAACAGAGGCAAAGAAGGCATTGAGTACTTCAGCTTTCCCCACATCATCTGTCACTAGGTTATGGCCTTCATCCAGTAGGGGCCCCACATCCTCTCTGATCACCTTCTTCTTGTTAACATGCCTGTAGAAACCTTTCTTGTTATCCTTCACATCCTTTGCTAGTCGCAATTCCAATTGCGCTTTCGCCTTCCTGATAACCCCCCGGCATTCTCGAGCTATACATTTATACCCCTCCCTGGTCATTTGTCCAAGTTTCCACTTTTTGTAAGCTCCCTTTTTGTGCTTAAGTTCACCAAGGATTTCCACTGTAAGCCAATCCGGTCTCCTACCATGTTTGCCTCTCTTGCTACACATCAGGATGGTTTCTCTCTGTGCCTTCAATAAGGCTTCTTTAAAATCCTGCCAGCTGTCCTGGACTCCTTTCCCCTTCATGTTAGCATCCCAGTGGATTCTGCACATCAGGTCTCGGAGGGAGTCAAAATCTACTTTTCTAAAGTCCAAGGTGTGTATTTTTCTACTGTCTTTTCTTCCAGCAGCTGTGAAACATCTCAGGAAGGCCCCGGGACCGCTTTAAAATCTTCCCCCAGCCTCCCCTGCAGTGCAGTTGGATACTTCTGGTTCTTCTCCTGCGTGTGGTAGAGGCGCACACATGAGATCTGGCAGGAGGGAGAAGCTCCACATGGTGGAGCCCAGTGGCGTTTTGGGAGATAGCAATGAAAAAGAGGCTGCAGCTGCCTTCCCACCTCCACCAGCTGCAGAGGCTGCTAGCAAAACTCCTTTTGTGGGTAAGGAGGTGTGCGGGACCAGAGGAGAGAAGAGGGAGGGGGGAATCCATTCCCAGAGTGGGAGGGAAGGGAAGCCCCAAAGATCCTTCCCTGCATGGGGCACCTTTCGGGAGGAAGGGGAGGCCACAGTGGGCCAGCTTTTCTCCCCCACTTCCCAGAACAGGCTGGCTGCAGCAGAGAACCCGTTCGCTGCAAAAAGCAAATTCAGCCATCACATTAAAATTCTAAATAAAAACAATAAAAAAGAACATCATACCACAACAATTTTTGTGTGCGCGCACATGGGTGTGTGGTTGGTTTTTGGCGTTTTGTTTCTGGTTTCTCACTTTTGTGCACCCCCTCACTGATATCTCTGCAGGTTAGCGACCCCTGACCCACAAAAAAAAAAAAGGTACCCCTCCCATCATAGACTTTACCCATTAGGCTATACCGCCCTGTGACCAAAGTGCTACTATATAGACTCTATTTGGCCATGCTGCCCTGCAACCCAAGGACTACTGTAAAGACTCTAGTCACTAGACTGTATTGACCTGTGACCAAAGAAATACTACATGGACTCAAGTTATCAGGCCATGCTTCCTCGGGGTGATGGACTGATTCAGGTCACCAATGGATTGATGAGAGTACAAGTGACGTCTATACACCCCTGTGACCTAGCCCTCACAGGATGAGGTACATATACACCATGACACTAACCAACAGAAATAAAATTTCAAATATTTGTAACAAGTTGCTTATGAACAATCTACAGATAAAAGACTTACATGGCAAATAATTTCAAACAGTGAATACATTCTGCTTGTGCATAACTGAAAACAGAAATAAAACCTAAATTCATGAAATAATTATTTGCCACAAATGAAGTTTTTAGCTGTCATCTCAAAACACAGAAATAGCCACTTAAAATGTAGTTGGCATCTTCTAATGAAGGATGTCTGTCACTTTATATCAAGGTATAGAATTCTTACCCTGGGATTTCTTTTACTTTGTTTTAATTTTTAATGTTGTTAAGGTAAAACATAAAATTAATATTTTAGCACTTTTTCCTCCCCTAAAGCTTTAATCTCAAAATCACTTTAAACAGAAACTACTCTGTTCTCTTTTACTCTTCACTACTTTTTCCTCTCCCTTCCCTGGCACTTATCCACATGGAACTCAATTTCAAGAAAATAAAATTTTAGGCATGGCTTCATTTTAATCTGTGATGCTGTAAGTAATGGACAGTGTGGGGGGGGAAGCTGTGTACCCCATATCTGTTGTTAGTTACACACTGCTGCGATGAGCAATATATACACTAGTCAAGTGGCGTGGGGGAGAGGAGGAAGGGCTACATTTGCCTCCTTAGGAAAAAGCTCTACCTATAGAGCAAGTAGCTAGCTGTCTCTATTAGCACTCTCTGAATTGCTACAAAGCAGTGCTGATTACACATGACAAAGAAACTCTTTACCAATACACAACAGGATTTAGGACATACTTACACTGGGCATTAATATGCCTTTATTCACCAGTGGGCTAACATACTTCTGCACTTTAATGGACTCTCTTCATTGATTACTATTGTTCATTATTCTATTACCACATATTAAAATAGAAACAAAATGGAAAGTACATCGCCATTTAAATTATATATAAAAATGCATCATGCTGGCCTTGCCCCATTATGCAGAGACAGTCCTGCACATTATCATTCATGAAAACTGAATTCATGAGTCACCTTATGCTCCCCAGATAAGTAGAGATCAAGCCTGTCACGGCACTAATACACTTTGTGTCATGATGAAGCATGTCTAGGGAGGCATTAATAGTAGCCTAGAACGATCAAAGTTGTGATAGTGGCAGTAATAGTTGTAATAAGCTTCTTTAAACTCTGTAAGGGAAGAGCAGACTCTTATGCCATGATGATGAGGGAGGTGCCACTTACAAAAACAGAGTTAAAAACTGAAGAATATCCTATGACTTTCTCTAATGCTATTTTCAAATTAAGCAATAAAAAGTGTGAAGTGGAATCTGTTAACTCATGTTCAATCTTGTGCTTTCAGTACAATCAGGTGTCAATAATGCAACATTGTTCTGACATGGTTGTAATTATAAAATGCTAATTTAAAAATATTTATATTGCTAAGAAGGAATAAGGTCAGAAGTTCTGAGTTGTGACTGCTACCTACACTATTCACTGAATTTTACAAATTCTGAGCAGTGAATTATGCTGATTGGCTAAAAAGAATTCTGAGCTGTGTCTGCAATCAAATCACCCTATTTCAGATGACCATTTTATAATATATGCTATTATAATTCTATATATTGTGCAACTGTAACAATTGCCATGCCAACATTAATATCATAAAGTGGGACCATAAACTCATGATGCATAAGCATAATAAAGTGCACTTAACACAACACACAGAAGAAACAAATAAGAACACAGGTAATAAAGGGGTGATGAGGCCTTTGTCATGCTGTGAACAAAAACAAAGGTGGGTTAGTCGCAAAATAAACAAAAAAAGAGAGATCGAGGAACTAACATATGAAGAAAGATGTTTAAAAATCCAGAAGAAAGGGAAGGTATGAGAACGTAAATTGTACATGTACACATGAGTTTGCATGTACCAAGGCTAGGACATAAAAGGATCAGATTGCATGTAAAGAGATGTCTTAGGATAGAAAGCATGCCAGTGGATCAAATAGAAGGAAGCACAGCTCTGAAATCAATGCATTAAAACCATGATTTAGAGAGAAGCCAGCTAAGAGAAAGAAACCAAGAGAAAAATTAAGAATAAGCAAATATTAACTCAAAAAGAGCATCTGAAAGCAATGTGACCTTTACGTTATGTAATTCTGACTTTTCATCCTTTATAGACTGTATTATGCTATAAGTTTTTTGTCGTAAATTGTTTTTAATAATTGGGTTATGTTCATGTGATTTATCTGCTGATTTTGAGATATTTCTCTAAGAAATAACAGATCATAATTTGGTGACAATTAATGTATTGCTGTTTAAACATAGTAATGCTGCTAAATTACATGAAGCTTTATGAAAGACATGCATACAGTCCTGTAAATGTAAAGCTTGATTTTTCCTTCCTACTACAGCATGCTTTGATAGCTATCTAAGTAAATCACAAAGACTCAAATTCAGTCTGACATGTAAGACCCAGAATTAAGTGGAATTTCTTCATTACAGCTACATGAGGACAGACCACCTGTGCAGGGAGGCTATGCAGCCCTTGCACGCCATAACTGCCTGCCAGCGATTATAAACTGGAAAAAGTACCCAAGATGCTGCAGTGCAAAACAGAGTGGCATGAACTGTAGAATGCTCTGTGTCCTGCTGCAATTATCACATGCAGATGTGGTGACACACACTAAAAGGTACCTAATTCACATTGATGTAGTCACATTTCATACAGGACTATGTTAACGTGCATTAGATACTTTCTAGCTCATGCCATCAACACAAGGCTGCTGGAGCAACATCCCTCTAGTTCACACTGCAGCACCATTTAGACCAAGCCTTGCACGCTACCTTGAGTATGCAGCCTTTTTACTAAGGTTGCACATTCCATTTGAGGCTTCTCCCTGTAATTTCCAAGTCAGTGGCCAATTCCCTCAAGCCAGAATGTTAAAAAGACAACACCTAAATCTTTAGTTTATTTTTTTAGAATTACAATGCAATCTTCTGTAATCAGATGTTATTTAAAGACTAGTTCATAAACTAGTTCATAAACTAAATATATATTCTTCAAAATAGGAGCATACATTTAGCTCACTTTTTGGAACATTCATTTGTAATAGATTTCACATCAGTTGTTATTTCAAAGATCTCTAGACTATAACTCTTTTACCTTTTATTTTAAGGAAAATTCATAAGCAGTTTTATTATAAAGGGACAATAGATGTTATATTGATTTTACAAACTACTTACAGCATGTACATAATGACTCCTATGCTCCAAATGTCACATTGTTGACTATAATCATGGGCACTGATAACTTCTGGGGCTACCAACCAAGCAGAAAAAATAATATTAATAATAGAAAAAAATTACTTTTAAATGCTTATACACAAAGCATGAAGAATGTGCTGATGTGGTATAATTTATTCCCTTATGAAAAAAGAACCAACAGCAGATGTTTAAATGAATAATGTACAGGCCTTAACAATTCATGTTGACATATCCTCACTTTTATCATTTAGCTGCTAATGGGATTGTGACAGTAACTGTGTGACTAAATGTGGTATTGTTTTTCCAGTTGTAAAGTGTTAAAACATTATTTCTAGAATACTGAGTTAAAGTATTGTATGACGCAACATAAACATGTTTCCTTTTCGAAAACTACGTGTTTCACTTTTTCTTTGTAAGATATAAGGGCTTTTGGTAGCACGTATCATCTAACACATATTCTGTACAGTGCTCTACATTTATTTAAATTAACAATCTTTATGAAAATAAAAATGTTCTTCAATATGCAAATAGCTTTATATCTTTATTTCTACGTGTCCTGCATTACAAAATGCATACACTGTAATGTGTTCACTAACCATTTTTATGTTGGTATAGCCATATGTTTTAAAAATGCTGCTTTGAGACCAAACTGGTGGTGCTTTATCTACTACATCATGGGACTGAAGGCCATGAGTTCACTGCAAGACTTGAAGTCCTCATTCCCAGAATCAATGAAGATGACATGTTTTGCCCCAGAGAGAAAGCTAAATGCTTCATGCATCAGTACCTCGACCTATGCAGCAAATTGACACTGGCTGTCTTAATAGGTTTTCTCCCAGCACCTCAACAAAGTCTGATGAATTGTCTCAACCTCAATAATATTTTCATGGGTTATTTAACATTTTGTTGTTACTTAAAGTCTCCCTTTCAAAGCATCTAACTCTTGCTTTGAAGCTACCAAGCTACAGAATGTACTTTAAAATACTGTCACCATATCACAACTGGTACACAATACATGTAAAGTAGTATTTCCATTGTCAGAATTTGACAAATGTATCAAAAGCTATAAATCAAGAATCCTCCTTTTAAAAAATATTTTGAGATACCAATTTTTTGCATGCTGAAATGCCTGTGGGGCCGCAAACTGCTGACTACTGGGCAGTGACACACTTCCCAAGTGCAGGGGTAGGTGTCGGGCTAGGACCCAGCAGCAGCGGACAAGGACTCTGGGAAGGAGCTCAAGCAAGGAGGTGTAGCACTAGGACCCAGTGGTGGTAGCAGGCAAGGAGGAAGGAAGTGATCGCTGGGCTCGGCCCCCACAGCAGGGAGGACTCGCAGTCCCTGCTTGCAGGAACTCCAGAGACAGGCTCGGGCTTTCTTTCCGTGAAATTCTTTTAGTGTTGTATCTGTAAACTCTGATCTATTATGTACTGGCAACATTTTGTTTGCATATTTGTGTATTCATTATTTACATATATAAATATATAAATAATGAATATGCAAATAAAATGGTCCACCACAAGTTTGTGAATGGATTTGCTGGTCCATGGTATAAAAAAAGGTTGGGAACCACTGGTCTAGACTACTGCCAGAGACAGGATACCAGACTAGACAGGTCATTGGTCTGATCTGGAATGCCTGTGCCTATAAGGAAAGGGGGAGCTCCTGACAAAAGGAGCTTAGAAACAGGCCCCTCTCTCTGGTTATCTGTAGCAAGAAAGAACATGGTGAGTTATCATTGCATTTCTTCATGTGATAACAATAAAAACACCCACAAACAGTGTGAAATGCTGAACTTACCCATGTATGTAGGAGTCCCACATGTAGACTGAAACATGCTTTCGCTACCACCTGCTTTCTGTACAGCTAAACCAAAATCAGTCACCTACAGGAAACAACACAGTAATGAAACTCTCCACATAGGCACAAAGCTGAAGTTCTTCTGTCTAGCTCACAGTACATTGTAGCAAAACTGCTGTAGTCAGAGAGAGTCTGTCAAATCATGTCACTCAGTCTCCTAGATCAAGCAGGAAGGACTCTACCCCATTTCTTTCATACATGTCTGTTGAACTGTATCAAACATTGATAATGTTTGTTCCAAAACTACCTTGCTAGGCAACTTGTTCTGCTATCCAAGCACAAGATATTTAAAAGGTCTTCCTGGTATGCAAGATAACCTTAGAGTAGACCAAGAGCTCACCAAAGAGAAATATGCTAAGGCCAATGGTCAAATTCCTGTTAATCATTTTGTTTTCTTTGTTGACAGGTCAGACTGGAGGCTCACCTGAAGTCTACTACGAATCAAATCTCTGATCAAATTAGAGATGTAAAATCCCATTTAATTGGTTACCCGCTTAAATATAATGTTTAACCGGTTAACCGAATAAAAAGGGGGACAGGCTGGATCAGCTCCCCCACCACAGGCAGTGGCTTCACCAGGCCAGCCAGAGCAGCCTCTGCCTGCAGTGCATCAGGGCCTGCTTCAGCCAGGTTGGGGAATCCCTGTCTGTGCCAAGCCCCATAGGGCTGGAGCAGCCCTTTGCTCACAGTGGGCTGGGAGCTGCTCCAGCCCCCCAATGAACCTTCCACATCCCTACATCAAATACAGACCATGGTAGAGCAAGGAGAGGGAGGACCAGAAGTCAGGTCATTTCAAGAAAAAACAAACTTCTGGAAAACCAGAGAGCTGTTTATAGAGAACCACACAGAGTTTGGACTGCTGCAGAAAACAACTCCTTACTCTAGCAGTGACTAGAGCAGGGGAAGGCAATAATTTCTGATAGGAGAGATCACTCCAATAATTTGGTAAGTGGTTGAGGGCCACACTCTTCCATGATATTAATGGAGGAGGTACAGGGGTATGGGATGGAGGTTGGGTGCAGAAGGCATAAAGGATTGGGATGGGGAATCTAGGAGGGACTTTGGGTGAAGTAGGGGATTGTGACCTGGGGCAGCCAACTGGGATGCAGAAGAGGGTGCAGAGTCTGGGAGGGGAACGTGACCTAGGGTAGGGATGCAGGTGTTTGGGTTGTTTCCTGGGGCAGGGAATTGAGGTGCAGGGTCTGGGAGGGGTATAGGTTCAAGAGAGGTTTCTGGCCTAGAGGAAGGGTATAGGAGGAAGGGGTGCATGGTCTGGGAGGGGGTTGTAACCTGGGGCAGGAGTGCTAGAGGGAGTGGCAGGGATTTGGGTTCTGACCCGAGTTAGCAGACTGGGGTGCAAGTCTAAGAGGGGGCTGTGACCTGAGGAGGGGTACTGGAGGGGATGCAATGTCTGGAAGGTGTACGGGAGCTGCAACAGAGGTACTGGAGGGGATGCAATGTCTGGAAGGTGTATGGGAGCTGCAACAGAGGTGCAGAAAGTTTGGGTTACATGGGGTAGGGATGAAGGAGGGGCAGAGCATTAGAGGAGGGAGGGGCTGAGGTTCCAGTGGTAAGTTCTCTCTAGGAGACCTTACCTGGGTGGCTCCCAGCCAGCAGCCCAGCAGGTTCTTTAGCCAGGGTCCCTACCTTCTGCGCCTGTGTGCTCAGAGGCCTGTGTTTGTTGCTGTGAGCTTGGGAAATGAGAAGGGAGGGGCACTTCACATGCTGCCTCTCCTGAAAACAGGCAGGTGCTACTGGCCAGAAACTAGCCAATGGGAGCTACTGGGAGAGGGAGCCATGTGAGAAACCTCTCGCCCACTCTCTCGGGCTCTTAGCATTCAGAGGTGCACGTATGGCCCTGCAACTGGCTTCACTGAGTGCCAAGTGGGGGAGGCCAGATCCAATGGCTCATTCGGCTGCACCGGCCCACAGACTATAGTCTGCCCCACCCTAGACTAGAGCATGCTCCCATATGGGCCCACTCCTCCCACTGATTGCATGCTCCCTGCACTGCAGTAGGAAAGTTGAAAGGGAAAAAGCAGCAACAGGGAAGAGGCAATGCTTCAGCTGCCTGACCCAAAGAAAAGAGTGTAGAAAGATTCTTCTGCAGCTCTTCAGAGACAGTCAGTTGGCTGATCAGCAGCTTGGGTCCAAGGGTCCAATGCACTCTTCTTCGCTAAACACATTCTCCACTGCGCTCAAAATATTAATGCCTTCCTATTAAGTCACTGAGGGCACCCTTAAGCTCTCAGGCTGTCTCCTTAATATTCAAGGCAGGGGGTGGAAAATTAATAATTATTACAAGCAGTTTTGTGGGCAATGTTCTGCTGGTCTGATCCAGAGAACAGAGTGGGATCCCAGCACATTCCTTGAACCAAGAAATGAAGATAAAGGTTCCGAAATTTGGACTGAAAAACCCTCAAACATCTTTTTTCCTTATGTATAGTTTAAAAACCAAAGTAAAGTTTTATCCTGTGTGAAGCTGAGTGCGAGTAGGTTAAAAGATAAGAGATGCAAAGACAATTTAGAAAGTCTCGCTATTACAAATTAAAATTCACTATTGTTTATTTTAGCTAGAAAGATGCATTATATGGTTTTGTGGGTCTGAAGCACACCCAAGGTTATTTTTATATCTGCTAACCAGTTTGGACTCTCATGGAAATGAGAGGTGTGTCTCATGAGAAGTCTGAAGTGAGCAATGTTTTAATTTAACACATTTATTTTTATTTTCTTTAAACTGAGCAGTTCACTATTTCATTCATTCATTCCACTCATTTTTAACACTGGGAATAATTTCCCCAACTTTACATTAAATATTGAAAGGGTAACGTATTGTATTCGAAACAAAAAACAGGATTATGTGGCACTTTAAAGACTAACAAGATGGTTTATTAGGTGATGAGCTTTCGTGGGCCAGACCCACTTCCTCAGATCAAATTGTGGAAGAAAATTGGCACAACCATATATACCAAAGGGATACAGTCAAAAAAAGTGAATACATATGAAAAGGACAAATCTATTATATGGTGTGACGGGGCGCTCCCGCCCCGCACTCGGGGTACCCGGGGTGACGGCAGATGGACAGGCCGGGGAGTGGAGAGCCTCCGGGGCGGCGGGCCACGCTGCCGAGTCGGGGCTCGGTGCGGCGAATGATGAGGGGCAAGGAGAGCCTCTGGGCGAGGCCCAGGGAGGAGGGGCTAGAGAGGTGCCGGCGTGTGACGTTACGGGGGAGGGGAGGTTGCAGGGCGGCGCGGAGGAGATGACGTGCGGGGACAGGGTTGGCGGGGGATTTAAACCCGGGTCTGGCACTGCGGAGGGGAGAGAGAAAAATGGAGAATCAGTGAGCAAGGAGGAAGGAGAGGTGAGGCTGGGATACATGGTAGGGACCGGCCCTTAGGAAGGGCGGAGTAGGAAGCAGCCCAGGGCGGGGTCGTGGAGCCCGTGAGCAGGTGTGTTTTGGGGTACTTCCCCCATACGCTAGGGAGGG